GTGGTCTCTTCCAACTCTATGATTCTATGATTCTATGATTCTAAATCCTTTTGGTTCAGTGGGTTTACTTTACCTGGGACATTAGGAATTGGATCAAGGTGTTAGTGAGACTAGAGGCAAGGGAGAAGATAAGAACCATCATCATAGATCAACTCTATCTAGATCAATATTCCATTTAACCCAGGATCAACTAGTTTCCTATGGGGAGTCCATGAGCAGGACAGGAGAGTAGCAACACCTTCTTGCTTAGATCCTCCAGTAACTAGTACTCTGAGGCCTCTAAACTGGAAAGACCTTATAGTCATTATGACCAGGAGCCAGATAGGCCTATCCTAAATGGATGTAAAGAGACACAGTGGCTAAAGGGACACAGTGGTTCAGTGGTTAAGATGCTGACTCTGATAACCGCAAGGTTGGCAGATCAGCAGGTCAAGACCCAAGCGCCTCATGATGGAGTGAGCTCCCATCACTAGTCCTAGATTCTGCCAACTTAGCAGTCTGAAAGCATGTACAATTGCAAGTAGATAAATAGATACCACCTCAGTGGCTAGGTAACAGTGTTTAGTGCAGTCATGATGGCTACATGACCACAGAGTCATCTTTGGCAGCCCTGGCTCCCTCGCCTTAGTACTGGAGATGAACATCGCATCCTACATTATTATTACAGCCGGACATGACTTGACATCATGTCATAGGGGAAAACTTTACCTTTAAATGGATGTATCCAATTGCTACATCTTACGGTAGCAAATTCATCCATCTGAACTTTGCAGACATAGAATCAAAGAAAGGGCCATCCAGTCCAACCCCATTCTTCCATACAGGAAGACACAATCAAAGCACCCTGACAGATGGCCATCCAGCCTCTGTTTAAACATCTCCAAAGAAGGAGACTCCACCACACTCTGAGGGAGTGTCTTACCTTGTCAAATAGCTCTTAATGTCAGGAAATTCTTCCTAAAGTTGAGGTGGAATCTCTTTTCCTCAAGTTTGCATCCGTTGCTCCATATCTTATTCTCTGGAGCAGCAGAAAACAAGCTTGCTCCATCCCCAATATAACCCTTACATTTTTAAACAGCGCTATCATATCTCCTCTTAACCGTCTCTTCTCCAAGGCTAAACATACCCAGCTCCTCAAGTCTCTCCTCATAAGGCATGGTTTCCAGAGCCTTCACCATTTTGGTAACTCCAGCTTTTCAATATCCTTTTTGAAATCTGGTGCTCAGAACTGGAAACAGGATTATTCCAGGTGAGGTCTCACCAAGGCAGAATAGTGGGACTATTACTTCCTTTGATCTAGACCAGGGGGTGGCAACCTACGGCCCCGAGGCCTTTGGACCGGCCCAGGCCAGTCCTGTCACCGCCGACGACGACCCCCGTCGCCACCATTTTGCTTTCCAAAAATGGTGGTCACAGCATGCACAGTACTCTGGTGAATGCACGAACGAGTTGTGGCCACCATTTTGGAAAACAAAATGGCGGCCGCGACTCGCTTGTGCATGCGCCGTAGGCCGGAAGTACTGCACATGCACAAGCGAGCATGCACGTGCATGCACAGTATTTCTGGCATACTGCGCATGCGCGAGTGCGCAAGCACGTGCAGCGCCATTTCC